GACGACGGTAAAGGCGATGTAAGCCTCATCGAGAATTTCTTAAGCATTAGATGCACCTCGTAAATCACCTTACCTTAATAGGTGCCGTTGTTTGATCATCCGTAATAAAGAGTGCGATTCTATTTTGACGACGACGCCGTCGCCGTCGTCGTAAAATTCTGGCGAGTACCGTCTTGTGAATTTCGATAACGAGTACGTGGTGTTTTCGGTAAACATCGACGTCAATCCCTGGTTAATTAAATAGTTTGAAGGGAAATGAAATCACGAGATTGCCAAATCACTGTCTAATATCATGATAAAAATAAAAAAAGTAATTTAACACATATGCCCCGCAATAAAAAAAACTTGCAGTTTATATGCACCGCGAAAGTTTTCGTACTTCTGAGCACTCGCGCACTCACTTGGTCCAGAAGAACATTCTTCCGCGCGCCGTACCGGAGATGTTCCGAGCAAATCCGAGCACCGCCACCCGTCATCCGTCACCCGCTACCCTCGTCGCCAGGAGGCGCTCAAATGGTTTCACAAACCATCAGATTATACGAGAACGCACTACACGTGCGCCTATCGCGCTCAAATTGATTTTAATGCGAACCGTGATATTCAATAATCACACGACTTACGGTTATTTTAACGCTGTTTCCATCCTGCGATTTTCCACAATTCTCCTACTTTTAATTAATTACTACACACCTATCTATAACCGATCTTTTTCCTTCTAAATATTATACATATATTATTTGAACGCAATTCAAAGATTTCGACAAACTTTGATACTAATTTTGGTCTTATCTAAAAATAAGCATATACTCTCCATGTAGAAAAAGAACTAATCAGCTGCACCGAGTTCATTAAATCGATCTAATCTTACACTGTAACCAGTAAAGCCGATTGAATTTGATTTAACGAGCCGATGAATAAACGAGTTATTATTTTAATAAGATTACAATATTTACGTTATTAAATAAAGTTAATTTCTGAGATTTCTTTAACGTTTTTTTTTCTTTCCCTATATGTAAATATTAAAGTTAAACAATTATTTTTATATATTAAATGTCTATTAACAATATTACAATAACAAAATTAAAATAATTTCTTCACGTTTATGATCTATAACATATATATAGATATAATTACCATTATTAACTTCTACTATAATTTTATGAAAATCTTATATTCAAGGAATTTTAGTTATTACAAATACAATATAAATGAAAGATAAGTGTAACAATAAAGTATAGGCATTTTATATATATTAACAAAATTTCATTTGGTATTTATAACACAGAAATAAATAAATAGTCAAATATGACTAAAATAAAAGGCAACGATGTAAAAAAGTTTAAATATTATCATCACTATTAATTTGTATGTAACAATCCTTCATCATTTCTGTTAATTGGATCTCCTTTTAGTAATGCAATAATCATGCTGAAAAATATAAATTACAAATAATAAAAGATATTAATTTGATTTTAATTGTAATTAATAAAATAATTATACCTACCAGTAAAGATAAATAAAAAAGAAAATTAAATAATATCCAAGATAGATCATACAGTCTCTTGTATGCCTTTTTAATTGTCCACGATTATGTATTTCTGTGGGATCATAAACTCCCATATTACCACTTGGTACTCCAAAATATTCATAGAGCAACCAGAGTGTCATAGGCAAATTCACTAAACACAATATTAATTGCCCGTGTGTTAATAATAAAAATTCTAAGAATGAATGTGCTACAAGTTTTGGTACAACCCACTGTAACATATAATTTAAAATAAGTTTTATTATGTTTATATCAATTTATAATGATAATAAGGATAATAATACTATAAAATGTAATTACCGTGTTTAACTTTGAACAACACTGTTGAGCATTCAAATAATCACATTCTAAGTCTGACAAAGTTATGACCTATATATGTATTTTTTTTAAGATAAGGAACTTCATTGTATGTTTTTTATTAACAAAAGACATAAATTGTTTAAAATTAAATGTGGCGCTATTACAATTAGTGTAATATCATAAAAAACATATACCATAAAAATCCCTAGATATATTTTCAATAAACTATATACGTAAAATTCAATGATGGAATTATAAAATTATGAAAACAATAAAATGGAAATACTACAATTTATCGTTAGATTACGTTTAGAAAATATAAAAAGGATACAAAATATACCAAAAGGAAAAGTACTAAACCGGTATCAATTAAAGCTAATACAAACAACAATGGCTCAGATATTAGACCCATTCTAATGATCTATTAATACAAATAGACGTTAGATAGCATTAGCATCGAAGCTGATAATTCATGTGTGCCTTTCTTCAAAATAGAATCACTTGAAATGCTTTCTACGTGCAAAGTTCAATAAACCTAAGAGAAACTGAAATGACCGATTGTCAAAAGGGACAAAATGAACAACTCACGATACTACCAACTATCGAAAATATTTTCTAAAGTACGAAATAGTAAAGTAATATCCATTTCAAATTAATATCCCTAGTTATGTTGACAAAGAAATAGAAATTCTCTATAATGGAAATATCGTCATATTCCTTATAATTTTTAACGTGATTTTTATGTTTAATCATTAAAGCTAATAGGAAGCTGATAAAAAAATTATTATTTTCATATTTTCAATTTTTTTTATAAAAATAATCGTTTCTATGAAAATTATAAGATGATTCTACAATGTTTAGATCGTTAAGTCTATATTGAATTTTGTCTATGTTTATATTTTCAAATAAATCAATAAAGTAAAACGTAAATAATTATGCACGAATTATTTATTTAATAAATTGAAATGTATGTTTCATATATAAATATAAATATTATTTGTAGATTATTTATATGAATCTTCAAAATAATACAGAATAAAAGGTAAATGTTCATCTTTACAAATAGATTTTATTCAAATATATTTGTTACCTGTAAAAATCATGCATATTATAATATAAAATAATAATTACAGCAATGTTTCGAGACGCTCCAAAGATTATTATAGAAGATGGATCTTCTCCGTCTACTTCTTATGTTATGTATGTTAGAATGGAAGATTTATTAGAAAAATTGAAATTGTTAAATTATGATACTCAATTTCTACCAGAGTTTAAAATCAAAGCTATAAATAGGTAATATAAATAATTACAATTATTGTAATTAAATATTCAAACATTTTAATTTCAAAATTATTAATTCTAATTTTAAAATTATTAATTTAAAATACAGGAATTATTTTATAACACAGACAAATCCAGGAGAGCAATTTTATACATTTACATTGTTAGCTGCATGGTTAATTAGAAAAGCAGGTGGAAAATTTGAAGCTCCACAAGAATCAGATGATCCTAATGCTACGATAGCCATAATCTTGGATTATTTAAGAGATACTAATGTATCAATAGAATTCCCACCTAATAAGCTTAAACAAGGAAGTGGTGAACATGCCATTTATGTTTTAGATAATTTAGCAGATGAAGCATTAAAAGCACAAAAGTTTCAATGGAAAAAGTAAATTTAAAATACATTTAATCCTTCTAGTGTTATAGTTTATTATTGAAAACTTTTTGTCAATATGTGTTTATAATCATTATATTCACGATTCTCATTGTATTTTGATTTTGGTTATGACATATACAATATAATCACTTGAGAGGTTAAGGTGACATTATAAATTCAATTATACATTAGACATGTAAACGTTTTCAGAGTACAAATATTACCTGATGAACCAAGTAATGAACCAGATGCAGAAGATGATGATGCAGAATTAATTTTAGAAAAAGTAGAGGAGGAAATGATGGCTGAATATGATGATGAAGATGAGGATATTTTACATATTGATGATATTACAAAACTATATGGGCAAAACTTTGTAAGCATGGTGATTCATGTATGTGTAAAACGTGGAACTTATGCACTTCATTTTTTTGTAATATTTTTTTAGAATGAAATGCAAAAACCTGATGATATTTTAGAATCTAAAACAAATAGAGAAGAATGGCAATTAGAATTAGAAAGAGTTTTACCTCAACTCAAAGTAACAATAAAAACAGGTATTAAATTTCTAAGTAAAAATTAAGAAAGAAAAATTAACAGGGAAGGATTTATTTCAGATTCAAGAGACTGGAGATCACATATAGAGCAAATGAAACAATTACGTACAAATATAGCAACAAATTTAACTGGAACCAAAAGTCAATTAGATAAACTACATATTGATATATCTAATACTTTAGATAAAATAAAAACAAGAGAATCTTATTTAAATAGACAATTTGAGCCTAGTTTGAAGCAATACCAAATGCTTCAAGATGAATTGTCAAAAATTAAAGAACAATATCGAGATGCTAGTGGAGGTGTTACAGAGAGAACAAGAATTTTTAATAAATTATCAGAAGAATTGGAACATGTAAAAAAAGAAATGGATGAACGAGGATCTAGTATGACAGATGGAAGTAAGTGATTTTGAAATAATTTTATATTATGTAAAAAATGTCTTACTTATCGATTTTCTTATAGCACCGCTCATAAATATAAAAAAGACAATTACTAAAATGAAAACTGAAATTTCCGAAATGAATATTCGAATTGGTGTGTTAGAATATAGTCTAATGTGTGCGAGATTACGTGATCGCACACAATTTCAAGAAGATATAAATAATACTGTCGCTATAAGTTGAGATAACGTACAAGTAGCATTGTTGTCATCATTATGGTATCGTCTTATCATGAATTTTTTAACAAGTAAAACAAAAAATATTATTTTCTTTCTGTATAAGTTACATACTATTTATTTAGTTTCTCACTCTAATAATAATCTTTAGGGTCCAATGACATATTTCTCTCATTGTATTTATAAGATTTATATGCACCGATATATAATACATTTTTTTATGCTGAAATTATGTTAAATAAAATTATATAATAATTCAAAATATTTCTTTATTCCTATATTTATTTTTGGAAGATACTTATGTAGTATTTTTTAAGACGAAGATATATACACAATTTAAGATAGATACTCTTTTGCTATTTGGCAATTTGAATTATTTGAATCTAATAGACACTGGACTGAAAAAAGCGGAATTGCTTTAATGATGAGCTGTTTGATTATCAAACAATCCCTCCCCTTTCAGCAATTTCTCACTCTTCCGAAGTAATCAGTCGAAGGTTTTGCGCAGGCCAGTCGTCGTGTAATCTTTCGTTACCATTGGACATATTTTAAAAGTGCGGCGGTCTGTGACTAGTGATAATATTTTACGACACTGTTACATCTATCTTTTAATAAAACTCATCTAATAATTAAGGAGGTTTGTAATTATTTTTACTATCTAAATTATAATTATTTTTATGAAATCCAATTTCGGTCAATCATCTTTTATTTATTTCGTAGCTGTATGTTTTTAATTTTTTTAATATAATTACTTAATGTTAATGACTAAACGTAAACGACTTGGTTTACACCATGGAAAAAATCATTTGTAATTAAATTAATAAAATAGCTAGCAATCAAAATATAAATATATAATATATTATATAAATAGAAATTTAATAATATCAGTAATATATGTAAACATAAAGTGTTATTTAAAAGTCATTGACTCGTATATCTCTCCAGCGGGCACTTTCTTTCCAGTTTTAAATATTGCTTTACGCGTTTATAGTACTCGCCTACTTTTCTTCAACTTTCACCGATGTTCTTACACATATTTCCAAAGAGACTCGCTTCATTTTAATACATTAAAACAGTACATTATGTTCACAACAATATATTCCAATATGTTTAGTCTTAAATAGATTATTTAACCGATTAAATACTTTTACTCATTAATAAAGTAACAAAATTTAATTTAGAATAAACTATAAAGTAATTAAAGAGTAACGTAGCAGTTCAGTAATTTATAGTTTAGTAATTTATAGTTTATTGTGAATAACATATTTATACTTAATTCATTATATATTTTTTATCGTTGATTAATTATCGTTAATTGTTGATTAATAAACAATGAAATTATTGAGATTTGTCAATTTTTGCGTAATCTCGTTATGCATTGGTTAAAATTGAATGATTAATTTATACTTGAATGACTAATATCTGATTCATACTTATTTATACTAATATCTAATTCATATACTATTTATACAAACTATTCAAACGATATATAATATGTTTCGCGTATTTTGCAAATTATTTTCACTATCTAGTTCCATATTTATTTTACAATTAATTAACTTTGATCGTTGGTCGAACTTGAACTTTGTTCAATGTATGATAATAAATAATCTACTAATCTACAAATTACCGATTCTCAAATGTTTTCGTTGGATTTCAGCTAATAAATGAAATTAAATTAAATTTTTACTTTTATAAAAAGGTTTCTCGTTATTTATTATTCCTTGGAACAACAGAAAAGACAATACAATACTCAAAGTCAGTAAAAATATTCTACTTTGAGCTTATTAGTCATTGCTTTTTCTGTTTTCAAAGAATCTATTAAATTCCGTCTATAAAATTTCATTAAACTTTGCACTATTCTTTATGCAAGTAGCAAATGCAAATTCTCGTTTTGGCATTAATAGAAAGCGATTAGATAGCTGGATATACATGCATAAATATGATTTTTTCAAATATATGTATAAAGTCAATAACTACTCGTTTTATATGTAATTATTTTTCATAATCTAAAATTTAAGATAAAAAACAAAGAATGAAGAACTCATGATTATATAATGATTCGAACTATTTTATAGTTTATACTAGTTTATAGTTTTTTATAGTTTTAACTAATTTAAATAACTGTAATATAAAATAATAAAATGAAAATTAACATGAAATTGACATGAAAGTAAAAAATCACACATCAAATTCAAATGAATAAAGTGAATATTGCAAGAAATAAAAAAAATTAATATAATATATTATTATCTCTAAAACGTTATTGGAAAAAAGTAATCATTGATGTATCAAGAATTTGCAGAGAATTTTTGCAAAATATTTGTAAATACTTATAAATTGATTGACTAAAAGTAGAATTTTTAATAAGAACAATTTTTATGCAAAAGAAACTTCCGTGTAAGTTTCACTACTGATTGTAGAGTCATTTCAAAATTAAGAAATCATTGGTATTTTATAATTACAGAATTATCAAACTTCATACTTATAAGAAACGAAAAAAAGATAATAAGTTTTCAAATATTGGCGCTTGTATTCTAAAATGCATCACGCGCAGATATAATATTTACTGTCCATGTCTATAAACGTCTGGACAGACCATCGTTGTTTCTCGTTAACTGTATATTGCAATAAAAATATTTAAAATGTTTTTTAATGCATGCTCAGCATTATTTATCTTTTATCTCTATGATATTACATCATAATTATTTGGAAGATATTTTAAATAATGCTACCATAATCTTGTTTTGGGTATGTTACATTTAATATTTATTTCTGACACCATAATTTTTACTGTGTACTGATTTACATCGCTAAAAATAGATAAAATAAGGGTCACATCATTCGTATATTTAAATAAAAAATATTATAACTAAAAAGTCACTTATTTAACCATTATATTCATGATACAGTATTATATTCAATTTGTATTCATAATATAATAAAATGTATTTAATTGAGATTTACTAATCAGTTAACAAACATATGATATTAATAACAAATACTTCTATTTATATAATTATATTGTTATTATCATTTTCAGGTCAAAACAATCAAATAAAATGATGACGATTGGTAAAAAACTTGTTATCATTTTCTCAATAGGTTTAGTATTAATAATTTCTGGATTAACTATTGGAATTTGTTGGTCTATGATTTATTCGTCAATTTTAAATGCAGTAAGTGTAAAAAATTATAGTTAAAAAATTCATAGATCTCATTATTGCTTATATATTCTTTTATAGGAATTATCTTTAACACCAACATCCACAAGTTATAAGCTCTGGAAAGAAACACCTATTCCTATGTATCTGAAAATATATATGTTCAATTTAACTAACCATGAAGATTTTATTTCAAATAATGAATCTAAAGCAAAACCAAATTTTGAGGAAATAGGTCCTTATGTATTTAGGTATAAAATTTACATCGTATATTATGATTTTTATTAACTAAGTTATACACAACATTTTGCAATTTTTTATTCACAGGGAAGTTGATTATAAGGTAGGACAAATATGGAATGACAATGATACCATAACATATCAAAGGAAAAGAGTATGGCATTTTGATAAATCTTTATCAGTAGGAAGTTTAAATGATAATATAACTAATATAAATCCAATAACTGCTGTACGCATCTTTTAGTACTACTATATGTTTTATATTGAATGTTGCTTCATCTTATTATAATATGTTCTTTTTTCTAACATTTTTAGAGTGTTGCATATGCATTAAGACATAAAAAACCTATTTTCCGTGATCTAGTAGATAGAATAATGAAAGTTATAGGACAAAAGTTAATAATTACGAAATCTGTTAATGAATTACTTTTTGAAGGATATGAAGATACTATGTTAAAAATTGCACGAAAAATGAATTTCAGTGAAATTCCATATAACAAATTTGCTTGGTTTTATGAGGTAAATTAATATTAAAGTAGAGATATAATTGCAAAAGTGTATTTATAACATCTTATTTGTAGCGAAATGGTTCTGCATCATATGATGGAACATTTAATATGCTAACTGGTAAATCCAATTTACTCGATGTAGGAATAGTCAAAGAATGGAACTTTAATAACAGAGTAAGTTATTATCCTAAAAATTGTGGAGAAGTGAAGGGAACAAATGGTGATTTGTGGCCACCATTACCTAACAATAAAACTATTACTTTCTTTGTCTCTGATATTTGCACGTAAGTTTAATTTTTTATTAAAATTAAGGAAAATAAATGCATATTGTGTGCGTGTATATATATATATTTTTTTTTTAATAATTATGTAATAGGAGTATGTCAGTAACATACGAAAATACAACCGTTTATGAAGGATTAACAGGAGTTAAATATGTTAGTGATGATACAATACTTGATAATGGTACAAAAGTAGAATCGCGTCTATGTTATTATGAAAGCGAACACATTCCTTCTGGAGTTTTAAACATTTCATTATGCAAATGGGGTGCTCCAGCATTTATTAGTTTACCACACTTTTATTTGGCTGATCCAAGTTATAGAGAAAATATCGACGGAATGAAACCTAATAAAAAAGAACACGAACTTTCAATATCCATAGAACCGGTAATTATTGCAAAACAATAAATATCGACAAGTATTATATACTATATATAGAAAACTTTTTTTACAGAAAACTGGCGTTCCATTGAACGTGCATGCACAGTTACAATTGAATTTATTGGTGCAACATGACTCTACGATGTCGTAAGTCTTATTTTATTGTTTTATTACGTAATTTATTGAAATGAAATTTAAACAATTTATACAATTATTATTTCATTTTCAGCATGTTTAAAAACATTAAGACGACATTTGTACCCATGTTATGGTTTACTCAAGAAGCTTATTTGACAGCTGATTATGCTCATATAATTAAATTTATCAATATTTTGGAAACTTTGGGTAGCATAACTAGCTATGGCATTGCTTGTATTGGCGTTTTAATTACTTTTATTGGCATATTCTTGTATATTAAACACGGTTTCAGTGGAGAAGAAAATCAAGTTTTATTGTCAAGTAAATCTAATGAAAATGATGACATTGCTACTATTAATGAATGATCATGTATATTTACAGACATTAGATTGCATAAAAAGAATAATCGATAATCATCAAATAAGGAACAAAAATCATTTTCGAAGTTCAAGAGTGATATGATATATATATCATATATAGATTATATACATATGATATATAGATTCTAAATCTTATCTGCATATCTTCCTATTTAAATTATATAATAAAAATGACGATAATATCAAAGTGATTGCAAGAAGATAGTATTCATAAAAAATTAGAATATTATACAAGTCGTTTATAAACTTTGAAAAATGTGCTTTTAAAATGTAATTATAACGATAATCAAGTGCCTCATTGCTTTAGTAATAATAGATATTAGAAACAGTGTAAAATAAATTAGATATCTGAAATACTTAAAAGTAATATACATATAATAGCAATTTAATCTCAATTTAAATTTTCTTTCCTAAACAAAGAATAGAAATTTATTCTTAATCCCCTCTACGATATTTTTTCAATAATTCAAAACATATATTATATTCTAGGTGTATATATTTTTATCTATGAAATATGCAAAAATAACGAGTATTAGAATCAAATTCAATTCATGATGTCAATCATGTAGTTAAAGTTATAACAGTTACAATATTGTTACAGCTGTGATAACTAGACTCTTCTTTCATTAGAATAAGAATTCTTAGAAAATAAAAACATTACTTTTATACAATATACAATGTTGAAAGTAAATTACATTTTTGTCATATCATGTCCTTATTACCTCCTTAGCCCATTATTTTAAGAGATCTATAAAACTTAACTGTCGTTTAGTTTTTTTTTTT